ATCGAACCCGGGTCTTCGGCATGACGAGCGAAGGCTTTAACCACAGGGCTACCTTGACCGCCCCGAAAGATGGAGGAAGGGAGGAAGGGAGGAGGAGGAGGAAGACAGGAGGATGGAGAAGTAATGGAGAAGAGAAAATGAGGGAGGAGGGGGAGAATTGGGCAGTCAATGAAATTAATGAGCCTTACTACCTGATCCCGTAAGTCACCTTACGGCAAGCATAGGTAACTGAAGGCCAAATAGAAGGGAGGGAAGGACAGAGAGAGTGTTGTGGGTTGTACCTTGACTGAAATGAAACATGACAGTAACTTTATCCCTTACAGTGAACAGGCAGTTCGATCCAAATGTATCACACTTATTCGACATAGAGCAATATTCAGATATGTTTCCCTTCCAGTCACTCGATGACACACAACATATACAAAGTCCAACAAAACATTCAGGCTTCATGTGAATCACATCCATTGACTGTTCTGATCCGAGATCACTTGAACAGTTTGTGTAAAAATAGAAAACATTAAAAAAATTAAACCTCCTAGGGCATTTTCAAAAAACAACAACATGGAAATCTAACAATTAAATTATTCTGTCCCTAAGCATGCTAAGGTCACAAGAAGGTCCACATCGTAGTCAGTGAAGAATCAAAGAACAAGATACATGCATGTTTTAAGCACTAGGCTACCCCGGCTTTTAAAACTATGACAAGGAGTCTCATGTTTTAAACATCAAACAGAAAATGATATATTGCACTATAAAGGCCTTTCATTTTCATAAACTCACACATAAATATCTGATCAATGATAAAACCCATGAGAAATGCATTATACTATTGAGCCAAATTAAGAAATTGGAAATTTTCATGTGTTGAATCTGAAATGTGTATAAAGGGACACGTAATCAGTTAGTGTCTCCTTGCATGCAGCCATCAAAGTAAGAGCTGTGGTCAACATCACGGTTAAATGTACAAGAATGCTGACAAATGTATACCACTACTAAGTCATGTTAAAAACATGTTGATGATGGCTAAATAATAAATGAAGTTCTCAACCTGCATTTAACATGTTTACTCATTGAACCGATCATTTTAATATCACGATATCAATACAAATGCTCAAAGTGAAACATGAACATGCTTCATGCCTGGGTTCCTCTCAACAACAAAATGCAAGACTAATGGATTTCTACTGCACATCAATACAGCCTTTACATCAGTTGAACAATGGCGGACAAGATTCATTGTTGTTTAAGCTGCTTAAAGTGAAGGAAGCTCACTGATACTTTTAAATCCTGTTCTGTAATCTGATAAAATGTCCTCATTTTCACATGCCTCTGATGAAAACCATTATCACCTTGTGATATGAAACACAGCAGCTGTTTATTTCTGAAACGGACCCCTCTGTCAAAGACTGATTGGGCATTACATCAATGAAGAGGGTAAGGTTCATACTTCGAAGATTAGCCTTCGATAAGACCAGCTTGATATGGACAGCAGTATGTGTCATCTCAACAGATTATACACTGCAGGAACAAGTTACTTGTGAATTGCGCCCCGTGAAGATCTGAGGTAGAATAGGTCTTCAGCAACCCATGCTTGCCGTAATAGGCGACTATGCTTGTCGTAAGAGGCAACTAACGGAATCGGTTGGTCAGTCTTGCTGACTTGGTTGATGCATGTCATTGTATCCCAATTGCGTGGATCGATGCTCATGATATCAATCACTGGATTGTGTGATCTAGACTTACTTACAGATGCCGTCATATAGCTGGAATATAGCTGATTGCCGCGTTAAACATCAAATAAACTAACAAACAAACAAACTTGTGAATTGCACTGTTGGACACGATGTCCGAAATACAGTTCATATAAACTGCAGGAATAAGTTACTAAGACGATGTCCAAAATACAGATAATTTTAAGACTATAAAAAAAAATGAATTGTGAAAAAGATAAATTTTCAGCAAAAGTTAAGGCTAGTATGAATCAATTATCATATTATTGTCTACATCCTCTAACACTGTGAACATTTGAGTTAGAATAGGTCTTCAGCAAACCATGCTTGTTGTAAGAGGCGAATAACAGGATCGGGTGGTCAGACGCGCTGACTTTGTTGATGTGTAGATTGAAGCTCATGATGTCAATCAATGGATTGTCTGGCCCCTGTCTTTACAGACTGCTGTCAGGTCAAGGCCAAATTGCATCCTGTTCATACAACTAGATCCCCAGTCAGATTTATCCCTACCAGGACACAGAGAATATCCCTATAAAATGTTGAGTAGTACCTATACATAATAAAACGGCTGTCTCTCACTGGAGATAGGAGATACTTATGCCAAAATATGTTATATCCTTCCTTGGAACAGCGTTAGCAAAATACAGAAAACATAAAATTATCCCAATAGGAAAAAGGAATGAGTGTGTGAGTTCGGTATAACACTGCTTTGAACAGTATCCAAGTTTTATCACAGCGTGTCAGCTTACTGTGGGAGGAAAGCCCGAAGTGATGCATGTCTCAGATGTTTACGACTTTGGTAAAATCCACAAGCACGAATCGGGTGAACCAGGACTCGAACTAATGATCATGATAAGGTTTCTGGCATGCTCAAGGGATGCAATTCTGCACAGCAAATTGCGGTGCCAGTGTCCCCCCATACATCCATGAATGGTCTAGTCTGTTCAGTTACCACATTAACACACATCAGAACCATTATCAGTATATAAGACAATCGAGGAAGCACCACAAAACTTGGTATGTTCATAACAGACATATTCCTTAACTTAAGAGTAGAACTGAGAGTTATACTTACATAATAGAACTGAGAGTTATACTTACATAAACAGTCAGATAAACTGCATTACTATGGGGCTTCTGCACACATAGACGGACATGGGATTCGGATATACACCAGCCAAACGTATAGTGAGTGAGTTTGATTTTAGGCCGCTTTTAGCAATATTCCAGCAATATCACGGCGGGGGACACCATAAATAGGCTTCACACATTGAACCCGGGTCTTCAGCTTGACGAGCGAACGCTTTAACCACTAGGCTTCCCCGACCGCCCCGCCAAACGTATAACGAAACTATAATTGTCAACTTGACACACAATCTTCGCTACCTGACTTCATGATAGACATTGTAATTAAGGCTCCTGAGTTAATTATAGTAAACATTGTAGCTGACTGTATTGGCTAATGACAGGGCATCATGGTATGTACTTCGAAATGGCCACCAGCTGACATAAGCATACCCACCCTTTGGCTCAAATATTTGATTCTGAAGACTGATAAACCCGTCAGAACCTGTGTGTGTCCGTGTACCTCAGTGTGTCTGTATACAGGAGTGTGCCTGTCCACATGTTGGGCCTGAATATGTGTGAATATGTGGTATTTTTGGTATATTTGTGAATGTGGGGTTTATTTGGTATATTTGTCCTGCCTGTTGTCAAGGTATTGCTGTTTACCTGTACATGTGTGACTGCCATTGAATAAAAGCAGGTGTCTGTCTGTGCATCTGTTTAACTGTGTGTCCCTGTACATCAGGCCTGTCCGTGTGTCCCTGTACATCAGGCCTATCCGTGTGTCCCTGTACATCGGGCCTGTCCGTGTGTCCCTGTACATCGGGCCTGTCCGTGTGTCCCTGTACATCGGGCCTGTCCGTGTGTCCCTGTACATCGGGCCTGTCCGTGTGTCCCTGTACATCAGGCCTGTCCGTGTGTCCCTGTACATCAGGCCTGTCCGTGTGTCCCTGTACATCAGGCCTGTCCGTGTGTCCCTGTACATCAGGCCTGTCCGTGTGTCCCTGTACATCAGGCCCTTCTGTGTGTCCCTGTACATTAGGCCCTTCTGTGTGTCCCTGTACATCAGGTCTGTCTGTGTGTCCCTGTACATCAGGTCTGTCTGTGTGTCCCTGTACATCGGGCCTGTCCGTGTGTCCCTGTACATCAGGCCTGTCCGTGTGTCCCTGTACATCAGGCCTGTCTGTGTGTCCCTGTACATCAGGCCGTTCTGTATGTCCCTGTACATCAGGCCTGTCTGTTTGTCCCTGTACATCAGGCACGTCCGTGTGTCCCTGTACATCAGGCCTGTCCGTGTGTCCCTGTACATCAGGCCTGTCCGTGTGTCCCTGTACATCAGGCCTGTCCGTGTGTCCCTGTACATCAGGCCTGTCCGTGTGTCCCTGTACATCAGGCCCTTCTGTGTGTCCCTGTACATTAGGCCCTTCTGTGTGTCCCTGTACATCAGGTCTGTCTGTGTGTCCCTGTACATCAGGTCTGTCTGTGTGTCCCTGTACATCGGGCCTGTCCGTGTGTCCCTGTACATCAGGCCTGTCCGTGTGTCCCTGTACATCAGGCCTGTCTGTGTGTCCCTGTACATCAGGCCGTTCTGTATGTCCCTGTACATCAGGCCTGTCTGTTTGTCCCTGTACATCAGGCACGTCCGTGTGTCCCTGTACATCTGGCCTGTCTGTGTGTCCCTGTACATCGGGCCTGTCCGTGTGTCCCTGTACAACGGGCCTGTCCGTGTGCCCCTGTACATCGGGCCTGTCCGTGTGTCCCTGTACATCGGGCCTGTCCGTGTGTCCCTGTACATCGGGCCTGTCCGTGTGTCCCTGTACATTGGGCCTGTCCGTGTGTCCCTCTACATCAGGCACGGCCGTGTGTCCCTGTACATCAGGCACGTCCGTGTGTCCCTCTACATCGGGCCTGTCCGTGTGTCCCTGTACATCAGGTCTGTCCGTGTGTCCCTGTACATTGGGCCTGTCTGTCTGTCTGTCTGTCCACCCGTGTGTCTGCACACCTGTACATATGTGTCTGCCCATGTTTTTCAGGCTTGTTTGTGTGCCTACATACGTGTGTGTCCCTGTCTACAAGTCTGTCCGTCCAACTTAGTCTGTCTCACAGATCCTAGATAAAATTATTCAAAAAAAGAGTCTAACTCCAGTCTTGAATGACTTGGCAATTCTGAAATTAAGGATTGTTCTGGGCTACATTTGGATTTTATTATTCTTATTTTGTAGATATATATTTATAAATAAGATAACTTTATTCTGGGACTAAACGTCAGTCTATGTCCACCTGTAGAGGTGTGTTCGCCTTGTACCTCACGCCTGTCTGTGCATCCATCTATCTGTGTGTCCCTGCCTACAAGTCTGTCTGTCCACCTGTAAACATGTCTCTGTCCTTGTACCTCAAGCCTGTCTGTGCATCCATCTACCTGTGTGTCCCTGCCTACAAGTCTATCTGTCCACCTGTTCTGTCCTTGTACCTCACGCCTGTCTGTGCATCCATCTATCTGTGTGTCCCTGCCTACAAGTCTGTCTGTCCACCTGTAAACATGTCTCTGTCCTTGTACCTCAAGCCTGTCTGTGCATCCATCTACCTGTGTGTCCCTGCCTACAAGTCTGTCTGTCCACCTGTAAATATGTCTCTGTCCTTGTTCTTCAAGCCTGTCTGTGCATCCATCTACCTGTGTGTCCCTGCCTACAAGTCTGTCTGTCCACCTGTAAACATGTCTCTGTCCTTGTACCTCAAGCCTGTCTGTGCATCCATCTACCTGTGTGTCCCTGCCTACAAGTCTGTCTGTCCACCTGTAAACATGTGTCTGTCCTTGTTCTTCAAGCCTGTCTGTGCATCCATCTACCTGTGTGTCCCTGCCTACAAGTCTATCTGTCCACCTGTTCTGTCCTTGTTCCTCAAGCCTGTCTGTGCATCCATCTATCTGTGTGTCCCTGCCTACAAGTCTGTCTGTCCACCTGTTCTGTCCTTGTTCTTCAAGCCTGTCTGTGCATCCATGTATCTGTGTGTCCCTGCCTACAAGTCTGTCTGTCCACCTGTAAACATGTGTCTGTCCTTGTTCTTCAAGCCTGTCTGTGCATCCATCTACCTGTGTGTCCCTGCCTACAAGTCTATCTGTCCACCTGTTCTGTCCTTGTTCCTCAAGCCTGTCTGTGCATCCATCTACCTGTGTGTCCCTGCCTACAAGTCTGTCTGTCCACCTGTAAACATGTCTCTGTCCTTGTACCTCAAGCCTGTCTGTGCATCCATCTACCTGTGTGTCCCTGCCTACAAGTCTGTCTGTCCACCTGTAAATATGTCTCTGTCCTTGTTCTTCAAGCCTGTCTGTGCATCCATCTACCTGTGTGTCCCTGCCTACAAGTCTGTCTGTCCACCTGTAAACATGTCTCTGTCCTTGTACCTCAAGCCTGTCTGTGCATCCATCTACCTGTGTGTCCCTGCCTACAAGTCTATCTGTCCACCTGTAAACATGTCTCTGTCCTTGTACCTCAAGCCTGTCTGTGCATCCATCTACCTGTGTGTCCCTGCCTACAAGCCTATCTGTCCACCTGTTCTGTCCTTGTTCTTCAAGCCTGTCTGTGCATCCATCTACCTGTGTGTCCCTGCCTACAAGTCTGTCTGTCCACCTGTTCTGTCCTTGTACCTCAAGCCTGTCTGTGCATCCATCTACCTGTGTGTCCCTGCCTACAAGTCTGTCTGTCCACCTGTAAATATGTCTCTGTCCTTGTACCTCAAGCCTGTCTGTGCATCCATCTACCTGTGTGTCCCTGCCTACAAGTCTGTCTGTCCACCTGTAAATATGTCTCTGTCCTTGTACCTCAAGCCTGTCTGTGCATCCATCTATCTGTGTGTCCCTGCCTACAAGTCTGTCTGTCCACCTGTAAACATGTGTCTGTCCTTGTTCTTCAAGCCTGTCTGTGCATCCATCTACCTGTGTGTCCCTGCCTACAAGTCTGTCTGTCCACCTGAAAACATGTGTCTGTCCTTGTTCTTCAAGCCTGTCTGTGCATCCATCTATCTGTGTGTCCCTGCCTACAAGTCTATCTGTCCACCTGTAAACATGTGTCTGTCCTTGTTCTTCAAGCCTGTCTGTGCATCCATCTATCTGTGTGTCCCTGCCTACAAGTCTGTCTGTCCACCTGTAAATATGTCTCTGTCCTTGTTCCTCAAGCCTGTCTGTGCATCCATCTACCTGTGTGTCCCTGCCTACAAGTCTGTCTGTCCACCTGTTCTGTCCTTGTACCTCAAGCCTGTCTGTGCATCCATCTATCTGTGTGTCCCTGCCTACAAGTCTGTCTGTCCACCTGTAAATATGTCTCTGTCCTTGTTCCTCAGGCCTGTCTGTGCATCCATCTACCTGTGTGTCCCTGCCTACAAGTCTATCTGTCCACCTGTTCTGTCCTTGTACCTCACGCCTGTCTGTGCATCCATCTATCTGTGTGTCCCTGCCTACAAGTCTGTCTGTCCACCTGTAAACATGTGTCTGTCCTTGTTCTTCAAGCCTGTCTGTGCATCCATCTACCTGTGTGTCCCTGCCTACAAGTCTATCTGTCCACCTGTTCTGTCCTTGTTCCTCAGGCCTGTCTGTGCATCCATCTATCTGTGTGTCCCTGCCTACAAGTCTGTCTGTCCACCTGTAAATATGTCTCTGTCCTTGTTCTTCAAGCCTGTCTGTGCATCCATCTACCTGTGTGTCCCTGCCTACAAGTCTGTCTGTCCACCTGTAAATATGTCTCTGTCCTTGTTCCTCAAGCCTGTCTGTGCATCCATCTACCTGTGTGTCCCTGCCTACAAGTCTGTCTGTCCACCTGTTCTGTCCTTGTTCTTCAAGCCTGTCTGTGCATCCATCTATCTGTGTGTCCCTGCCTACAAGTCTGTCTGTCCACCTGTAAATATGTCTCTGTCCTTGTTCTTCAAGCCTGTCTGTGCATCCATCTATCTGTGTGTCCCTGCCTACAAGTCTGTCTGTCCACCTGTAAATATGTCTCTGTCCTTGTTCCTCAAGCCTGTCTGTGCATCCATCTATCTGTGTGTCCCTGCCTACAAGTCTGTCTGTCCACCTGTTCTGTCCTTGTTCTTCAAGCCTGTCTGTGCATCCATCTATCTGTGTGTCCCTGCCTACAAGTCTGTCTGTCCACCTGTAAATATGTCTCTGTCCTTGTTCCTCAAGCCTGTCTGTGCATCCATCTATCTGTGTGTCCCTGCCTACAAGTCTGTCTGTCCACCTGTTCTGTCCTTGTTCTTCAAGCCTGTCTGTGCATCCATCTATCTGTGTGTCCCTGCCTACAAGTCTGTCTGTCCACCTGTTCTGTCCTTGTTCTTCAAGCCTGTCTGTGCATCCATCTATCTGTGTGTCCCTGCCTACAAGTCTGTCTGTCCACCTGTTCTGTCCTTGTTCTTCAAGCCTGTCTGTGCATCCATCTATCTGTGTGTCCCTGCCTACAAGTCTGTCTGTCCACCTGTTCTGTCCTTGTTCTTCAAGCCTGTCTGTGCATCCATCTATCTGTGTGTCCCTGCCTACAAGTCTGTCTGTCCACCTGTTCTGTCCTTGTTCTTCAAGCCTGTCTGTGCATCCATCTATCTGTGTGTCCCTGCCTACAAGTCTGTCTGTCCACCTGTTCTGTCCTTGTACCTCAAGCCTGTCTGTGCATCCATCTATCTGTGTGTCCCTGCCTACAAGTCTGTCTGTCCACCTGTAAACATGTGTCTGTCCTTGTTCTTCAAGCCTGTCTGTGCATCCATCTATCTGTGTGTCCCTGCCTACAAGTCTGTCTGTCCACCTGTAAATATGTCTCTGTCCTTGTTCTTCAAGCCTGTCTGTGCATCCATCTACCTGTGTGTCCCTGCCTACAAGTCTATCTGTCCACCTGTTCTGTCCTTGTACCTCACGCCTGTCTGTGCATCCATCTATCTGTGTGTCCCTGCCTACAAGTCTGTCTGTCCACCTGTAAACATGTGTCTGTCCTTGTTCTTCAAGCCTGTCTGTGCATCCATCTACCTGTGTGTCCCTGCCTACAAGTCTGTCTGTCCACCTGTTCTGTCCTTGTTCCTCAGGCCTGTCGGCATGCATGGAGCCTGTATTATCGTCATCAGGAATGTGCGAGGTCACCATCACAACACTGCCGAAGGAGATCATCCTATCCCCCGAGGCAGTGATGTCGGGGATGGATGTACACACCTGTACTGCCCAGTCCCTCATGCCTCGGTGAACACTCGCACATCGCTGCCCTATCACACTCACCAATCACACGGAGATAGTCAACCAACTGGGCTTTACAATCAAACATCGTCTCCATACAGTAAGCTTGCTTTCTGTCCATGTGGTCCACAGTGGCAGCATGACTTGCACTTTGAGCCCAATATACATGAGACACTGCTATGAATAGATATGATATATCACTGCCACAGCCTGATTACACGAGTGAGTGCCGAGGGGCAGGGCGTGACTGCGACTGTCTGCAGATGGAGGTATGTACTGGAGGCCACAGTCGGGCATACCAGGTTGGAGTGACATGGCTGCTGGGTGGTCAAGGGAGGGAGGGGAGGGAGGATGAAGAAAGGGTGTTCTGTAGAGTAACATCCGGTAACACACACAGGGTTGGGTAAACATATGGAGTGGGCTAGCTAGCTGTCTGATGTGGCTGGCACGGACTAGACCTTGTCAGTACCTGCAAGGTTGCTCCACCTGATGTCCACATTGCACTATCAGGGTCCTGAACAAACACGCCCTGATACACATAGAGAAAATTATGGTATACTTACAATTCAGGTAGGGAGCGGATGGCAGAAGAATAATCGGAGCTGATGATAATACTAGCTAAGGCCACTCAGCCACACAATCAATACGGGCGGGCAGGCAGGCAGGCAGGCAGGCAGGCAGGCAGACCTGAGAGCTTGTTGAGGCTGGCTGGTGTGGGGCGGTTTAGGGCTGGTAGGCCGTTATAGTCCTCACTCATTCTCTCACTGGAGAGGGGAGAAGGCAGAGCCAACAGCCTTTCTATGTTGCAACAGCTGATGGATCCCCGACATTCAGGACATTGTCTACTGCCATGTTGAGATGACTTGCTATCAACACCTTCAGCTCAATGACAGGCAGCGACCAGAGCTATATTTGGATAGTCTTATTCTTGGTTGTGCAGTCATGTGACCTGGTCATGTCACCCAGAATGTCACATGACTGTTATCTATGTACCTATACAATGCTGGATGGAGGGACACACAAGATGGCTTGTGTGATGTAGGACCACGTTGCAATGGGAAATACATTGCCAGGAATGAGCTGAGTCAGCTAAAGAATGTGGAAGGCCTTGATAATGAACCACACCCTCAAAACCCGTCTCCACAAAGTGTGCACATGGGTCTTGAAGTATCTATAAATAGCTCAGTGGTGCACTAATTATACATAATGAAGTCAAGCATGTACAGACTTCCATCAATCCAAGCAGCACAGGGTTGCAACTTATTTTACAAGTCAAACACAGCATAGAAGGGGGAAACAGTGAGTGATCAGCTAATGTGTGAGCGAGTATGGTTTAACACTGCTTTAAGCAATATTCCAGATATATCAAGGCAGTGGACAGTGTGTGAAATAAATGCCTGCCCACCTGCCCGTGACTAGTAACTTTTCTGTCGGGTGGCATCAAAATTTCTTCCACCTCCCCGATGGTCTGGCAGGTAATTTTAAGACTACATACAATTCAGTATAATCATAACTCCTCGTATATTCTCAAGTGATTGTTTGCATTATTTCAACTGAATCAAGACGTGATTTGGCACTTACTTTTTGAGATTTTTTTAATGTTTATACTGTCTGATTCCAGGCAGGTAACTTTGAAGATTCGCAGGCAACACTTATGGGTCACTGCCCGATTGTCTTGATGGGTTTTTAAATTATTTCACACTGGCGGTGGAAACCGGAAATAGGCTTCAAACATTATACTAATGTGGGGAATAGAACCTAGGCCTATGGTATGATCAGCAAACACTTTTAACACCAAGCTACCAATCATGCACACATTCAGGGCAGTTGCAGACATCAATAGTCTACATTCCCTTCCAAGATATCCCCTTTACATGATCAAACACAACAAGCACTGTGACAAAAACAGGCCCAATCAAACTGTCTGGAATATTGATTTTCACTTCATTTTAAGCCAAACACGTTAGGAACCTTGATTCTCATAATTTCAGTTATCTAAAGCAATCTGCGAACGAGGAATGCAATGACAATAGTTTCAGATGAAATGTTTCAGAAGACATCACTAGACTATCCTGACAGCTATTTCCCATGACTGAATCTGAATCAGAAACCAGCGATGCAGAGTCAGACAGATTGAGAGATTCAGCATCCAACAGAACACTAACTGATACAAGTTTCCACATCACATGGCACGGTGAAAACATGACTATATCTCGCTATCGATGAAGAGGATCTCAATATGAGGAAGCTGATTCTGCCAACTAAGAACTTCATGCGGACAAAAAATTGAAAACATCTTCTCGTCATTGAATGCAAGTGATATTCAGGGCTATAAATTTCATGAAGCAGTGTTTGCCCAGTGTTAGTGAAGTAAGCGTTGAGAAGTCTTGAGAAGTCTTAACTGAGTGAGTGAGTGAGTGAGTGAGTGAGTGAGTGAGTGAGTGAGTGAGTGAGTGAGTGAGTGTTGCTTAACACCGCACTTAGCAATATTCAAGCTATATGATGGCGACCTGACAATCCAGTGATTGATATCATGAGCATCGATATACGCAATTCGGATCTGATGACATGCATCAACCAAGTAAGCGAGCCTGACCACCCAATCCCGTTAGTCGCCTCTTACAACAAGCATAGTCGCCTGTTATGGCAAGCATGAATTGCTGAAGACCTATTCTAACCCGGATCTTCACGTGTGAGTGAGTGAGTGTTGTTAAATGCTGCACTCAGCAATATTCCAGCTGGACCAGACAATCCAGTGGTTGATATCATGAGCATTGATCCACGCAATTGGGATACGATGACATGTATCAACCAAGTCAGCGAGCCTGACCCCCCAATCCCGTTAGTCGCCTCTTACGACAAGCAAAGTTGCCTTTTACGACAAGCATGGGTTGCTGAATATAGTGAGTGAGTGAGTGAGAGCAGGGCAGGTAACAACTTGTGTTTTTGCCATGGACATGCTCCAATCGACCTTTACTCACTGTTCATAAAGGCCCAGTTTGGGCAGTATATTGTCAAGAATATCAGAATCGACACTGTGTGAAGAAGTCGTATCACTTGCTTAAGCTTTGTTTGTATATGATTATACAGTGATATATTCACTGCTTATTTCAAGTACAAGTTTGTTTTGGATAAGACTAACATTTTGTGACACTGAACCCAACATGTAGTTCATACAGCTTATTCAAATCAGATGGATTAGGGAGAGTGACAACTTGCTGGCCGTAAGTGAGGGTCCTGGGCCCCGTTCCTCAAAGTGATCTTAGCACGAAGGTGATCGTAAGTCCCTTACTTTAACATAGGCTTAGGATCATCGTAGAGCTAAGATCGCTTTGAGGAACGGGGCCCTGATGGTGCACAGTGTTTAGCATAATAACTGAACAAAACTATCACAATTCTTAAACATATAATGAGTCACTATTTTATCGTAAAGATTAACGTGAGTGAGTGAGCGAGTTGGGTTTAACACTGCTTTTAACAGTATTCCAGTTATATCAGCTTAATGTGGGAGGAAAGCCCAAAGTGATGCAGGTCTCAGATGTTTACCACTTCGGTGAAACCCACGAGCGCGGGTATGTTGCTGACAAACCTTGAAACATAATCGGGGCAAACCAGGATTCGAACCCACAATCAAAGGTTTCTGGCGTGCCCAAGGGACACAACTCTGCACAGCGAATCGCGGCACCTTAGAAGACTGGGCCACCCGTGCCCCCTAAAGATTAACGTAAAATGTCCATAAAAAATGCTCAGAGTAAATCAAAACTTTACCATGTATTGTAATCATGTTCAAATCTTACAAAAGTCATATATAACTAGATCTAATGTCACAACCAAACCAGTCAAACACAAAATGCCCTAATGAATGAAATCAGAACAAGCTGTCCCCATGATTCCTACAGACAGACTGACGATCCACATTCGCATAGAGATGATTTCGCATTTTAGATTCAACTTCACAACATGTCAAGTGTTGCTTTAACTAAGTTGATAAACTGACAACTGACCAGCGGCCCCCAATGTTACTGACTACTGACTTCCTAACCTACAACCCATCATCAGTGTGTTCAAAAGGATGACTGTCTCATGTCTTTCCCTGTGATGCAACATCAAGCTTGTTTCCAAGATAATCGTTTCAAAATGAAAACATTTTGATAGTTTATGGAGAGCTAATGTCATTTAACTTACCAAAATTGTCTTATTTTTCCGCGGCTAAACCCAATGTGTGTTCTTTTAACATGTTTTAACATGTTTAGGATTTTCTGATTTCTAGATGTAGACAGCGGAGGAAGGAATATGCTTGTAGAAGTATGAGTCAATAAAGTTATTCTAAGTTATGAAACTTATATCCTGTTTTCCATGGAGTTATAACATGTTTAACTTATCATTTTAAAGTTCTGTAAGGTGACAGATAGGATCGGCTCAAGAAAGCTGTGTCACAACAGGAAAATGTTTGGTCTAAAATAAACATGGTTAGGAGTGGTTTTAGAAAACTTACTGATTCAATGAATCACTGACCATGACTTTGAAAACAGTGACAGAGTGAATGTGTCTTAAGTTTGTTGAGTGAGTGAGTGAGTGAGTATAGCTATTCATGGCAAAAGGATGAAGTCAGCTAAGGTAAGAATGCTTCTCTTTATTGTGCCATTGGATTGTCAAAATTGTTGTATATAATTTCCCTAGTACAAAAGCTATTTGATAACTAATTATACATTTGTAGGATATTATACAATATGAATAAGATTTTCCCTTGTAATAACTAATGTGAATCATACCGATGAGGCAATGGTGAGTTGGAGTGAAATGGGTTTTAACGTCATGTAGAGTTTAAGATTATTGGACTTATACAGTGACTTGTGCGTGTACTTGTACAAGTCCAGACTAATGCCACTTTTATAGAGCTAGCCCACTGAGATACCATGTCCAGTTTAACATGAATTCCCCACTCAGACACAGTATACTATCCTACCAGTCCTTCTTTAAGCCCCTTAATGCCGATCCCCAGACAGGGTAATATGAGGCAATGACAAAGACAAGACTCCACACTGTCTACTGTTGACTTACACCAAACATTATTTCATAAAACCATTACCAGTAAATGAGCAAATCTATTTTTACAAACCTAATGGGTGTAGAGTCTAAGCAGGAGAGTTATCTCCCTTGCATTAGATCACATACGTGAATCAGGTCACAACTGAGATATTTTGTAGCACTGAGGGTGTTCTTATGACTGAGTAAAATTTTACATCACAAATAATAACAATACAAAAAACAGTGTCCTTAGTCCAGATCTGATAACAAGCTGCGGTGTGGGATATGTCACAAAACATGAAACTGGGTGATGTAATGACCTTGGGGGGATAGTTGACGACTCACATGGTTCAGAGTCTACCATTATGTTTCTGTCTATTCCGAACATAAATACTAACTGCAAAATGAAATGTGATTTCAGTTAGAAAATACCTGCAGTCTAGGTGGAACAAAATTATGAAAATCATTCCGAAATTTTGTACAATTTTTTCAAAAGATAATT